AAACCCTAAACCCTAAACAAGCACCACCTCCATCAGGGCCGCGAAGGCCCCAAAGCTGGTCACCAGCTCCCGCACGCCCGTGAGCCGTTCTGGTGGCTCGACAGCACCTGGCAGTTTAGGGTTTAGGGTTTAGGGTTCAGGGTTCAGGGTTTAGGGCGCGGTTGGGGGTTAGGGTTTGGGGTGTAGGGCTTGGGGTTTAGGGTTTTGGGGTTGGGGTTTAGGGTTTAGGGCTTGGGGTTTCGGGTTTGGGGTTCAGGGTTTGGGGTTTGGGGGTTGGGTTCGGGTTTAGGGTTTAGGGTTTGGGTAGGTTTAGGGTTTTGGGGTTTGGGGTTTAGGATTCCGGGTCCTCCTATACATACCTACCTACCTATATACATCTGTCCCTTGGAAGGCACCAGAACCCTACGCCCTGAAACCTGAAACCTAAACCCTAACCTGTCCCGGTCTGTTGGTAGCCCAGTAACCATGAAAAAAGGGTACCCTTGTTTGGGGTTGGTTAGTTTGTAAGGGAACCTCGACCCCAAAACCCTAAACCCTAAACCCTAACCCTAAACGGCCCTAAACCCTAAACCCTAAACCCTAAACCCTAAACCCCAAACCCCAAACCCTAAACCCTAAACCCCAAACCCTAAACCCTAAACCCTAAACCCTAAACCGGTTACCACTGGGCTACCACAAGGTCTCTGAAGCTGGACGAGCAGCATCCCTCACTGAACAGCACGCAGTCGCCCCACGCCACCACTGTGTTGTCGCCTCGGGGATTCACAGGATTTGGGTTTGGGGTTCAGGGTTGAGGGTTTAGGGTTTTGGGTGTAGGTGCTACGTTTAAGGTTTTGGGTGTAGGGTCAAGGGTTTAGGGTTTCAGGCTTTGGGTGTAGGGTCCAGGCTTGAGGGTTTAAAGTGAGGCAAAAAAGAAGCAAAAGTGCACGATTGAACTGCCTAGTCACCCAGGATCGCGGCGAACGCTGAGTCCTCTTGGCGGGGCAGCCCCTCACCCCCTGCGCGTGTGCAACTCCCTCTAACTACTAAATCCCCAAAACCCCAAACCCCCTAAACCCTAAACCCTAAACCCTAAACCCTAAACCCTAAACCCTAAACCCTAAACCCTAAACCCTAAACCCTAGGCCCTAACCTGTTTCCTTCATCTTGAAAGTTCGTTGATGCGGCGAACCCCTGGCGTCAAACCCTAAACTCTAAACGTCCTACTTATGCGGGACCCTAAGTTAGACGCCCAAACAGTAGGATCCCTTATAATCAGGACCACAATATGGTACCCCTAATATCAGAAACCCCCAAACCCCCAAACCCTAAACCCCAAGCCCTACACCCTACTAAACCCCACGCCCTAAACCCTAAGCCCTAAGCCCTAAGCCCTAAGCCCTAAGCCCTAAGCCGTAAGCCCTAAGCCCTAAACCCTAAACCCTAAACCCTAAACCCTGACCCTCACATTATGAAATGTTGAAAAAACCGGGGGTCCGTCGACTTCACCTCCCGCACATCCCGCAACCGTGGCTGCGCTGTGCTGGAGTCACCTGGAGGCACCCCCCATGACCCTGTCGTTTAGGGTTTAGGGTTTAGGGTTCAGGGTTCAGGGTTCAGGGTTTAGGGTCCGGGTATACGTTTATGAAGTCAAGGCGTTCGGTACAGGGCTTCGGGTTATTTAGGGTAGGAATATACCCTGAACCAGATATTAATGCTTGTTTCCGAGTTGAGGCGTCAACCTTAACTATCGGGTTGTGGGTCCTTTGGGGGATTACTTGGATGTTCACCCTTATACTAACAGACCTTAATAGGGATTATAATAGGGGTAGTCTAGTCCCTATAATCCCACGAGATTAACAAGACCGCCATGCGCGTTCGACGGGGGGAAGTCATGGGTTTTGGCCTTGTCGGATCTAGGAGTTTTGGGTAGTCTTCTAGACCCAACAGTAACCCTGAAAAAAAAGGCGCCCTTTTTGGTTTCAAGGGGCTTCTAAGGGAACCTTAACCTTAAGAAAAGGTTTTAAGGGCCTACTCTGGGTCCTAGTCTTTGGCGTGACAGAGAAGCAAGAAGGTGGGCTCGTACTGTCAACTTCGCAACTCTCTGTATGTGCCTAAGGCCGCAATCTCAATCCTGGCACTAGATGGAGACAGGTGCATAGATGTGTGTACCTCTCATCTGCCCAACACAACAGATGGTAAGCCAGCAAGATTTGCAGCGTTGAGCCACCGAGCATCAAGCAACGCACATAGCACATAAATCAACAAAACGAATTAACATAAATAAATAAATATAGATACACATAATCCTGTATGTATGTATGTATGTATGTATGAATAAATAAATACAGAAAAAAAGTAACGAAATTGAAAAAACTAAAAATATTATATATATATATAATATAATATAATATATATATATATATATACATATATATATATATGCGTACAGATCTATACGTATATGCAAATCATTACATAGATAGACATGAACAAAAACAAACAAATAAATCAATAAATAAACAAATACAAGGAAACATAAACAAATAAATAAATGAATGAAAACATAAATAAAGAAACAAATAAAGAAACACTAATACATATATATATATATAGATATAGATAGATAGATCGGTAGATATATACATATACACGTGATTATAACTGTGCACGTGGCCATCGATTTGTGTGTCTGCACATGTAGCTTCATGACTTTGCTTGCTTTCCGCCCGAATATTTGCATTCATATATACCTTGCAGAATTTCTTTACTTACCAAGCTTGCTGTTCTGGATAACAACAGCAGACATGCGCTGTAAGTTCGGGCGAGTCGCGTGTTTGTAGCTGTCGCCTGAAACAAAGCCAGTTATCCACTAAGCCCAGGGCGCTAAAAAGCCGAACACAATCAAACAACAAGCGTTTTCTCCAAGAGGCCCTCCAAGAGCACTTTCCGTTGAAACCTGCACTCAAGACCCCCTACTTTGGAGTAGACCTTGGCAAAAAAACATATACTTTTCATGTAGAAGTAGCTATAGTAGGAGCCCAGAGCCAAACCAAAGTATTAAAGTATAGTACTCCAAAACTTAAGACCTCAAGGCACGAAACACATGCGCAGGTATGGAGGAAACGACAACATGAAAACAGAAGATGCATGACGTCATTCCGCTCGATCCTTCAACGAGCTCCGTGCGTCTCATGGATTCACACCGGACGGACCAGCAGCAACTAATGATGGTACTGCCGTGGGAACACAAGATACCTACAAAAAGCGTGTACGCCAATCTGGCACAAGTCCTTCCAAATTTTTGTGTTGTCCGAACCCAGAACCCGAATTAAACCCTAAACCTTACACCCTAAACCCAATTCCTAAACCCTAAACCACCCTAAACCCTAAACCCTAAACCCTAAACCCTGAACCCTAAACCCTAAGAACCCCTCTTCTGCGCTTAGGAGCCCACCTCCTCTGCGCGCAAGGCCCCAGGTCACCAGCGAGCCGTCCTTTTTGGGGTCCAGGCACATTTTTTGGGGCTCAGGGCTTGGGGGTCTGGGTCCCTGTAAGGTTTTAGGGTTAGGGTTTAGGGTTTAGGGTTTAGGGTTGAGGTCTGTAAGGAAACCTAAAACCCTATGTAAACCTTTGTAGGCTCTAGAGTTTAACGGTTCAGGGTTTTTGGGGGGTGTTGCTTGAACAGTTCTTGGCTAGGTATATCTTCCAACCATTTAACTCATCCAGCAGCCTAACCCCTGAACCGAAAACCCCTAAACCCTAAACCCTAGCCCTCTTACCTCGCGGAGGGCGGCGAAGGCACTTCCGGCAGCGAAAAGGCGGCGCACGCCATGGAGCTGGTCTTGCACCTGGGGGTTTGAGGTTTAGGGTTTAGGGTTTAGGGTTTAGGGTTTAGGGTCTATGAGGATTTAAGTTTATGCTCTAGGGTTTGGGGTTGAGGGTCTACTAGTAGGGCTTAGTTTTCTGGGGTTTGGGGTTTGGGGTTGTGGGTTTGGGGTTTGGGGTTGTGGTTTTGGGCTTCGGGTTTGGGGTTCAGGGTTGGAGTGTGGGATTTAGGGGCGGTAGCTCTAAGGGTTTGTATGCTATAGGGTTTTTGCTGTGTTTTACTTGCGGGGTTTGGGTAGCTTTTCGGGTCTTGGCCTAGTCTAGGGGCTTTTGGGAAATTCACCTTGTTTCGATCTGAAGGGCTTCTGAAGGGCTTCGGCTTTACACGTCAGGGGCTTGGAGGTTTTACCTAGCTTTTCGGGCATTGAGAGTTTGGGGCTCGAAGTTTCGGGTTGGAGGTTTTGGGGCGTTAACGGAAGGTGGCGATAGTGGTTAGGGGCTGCTGGGGCTTTGGAACGACAAGGGCCTTCTTAGGGGGTGTTTCAGGGGCCCTAAACCCTAAGCCCTAAAGCCTGAACCGGGTGGCGGTGAGGTACTTCAGAATTGCGAGCCCCTGTTTTTTTTGCGCATCCTGCAACAAATCATCAACAAGGAGCCATGGGCGCGAAGCTCAGGGCTCAGGGCTTAGGGCTTAGGGTTTAGGGTTTAGGGTTTAGGGTTTAGGGTTCAGGGTTTAGGGTTTAGGCTTATGTTGAAACCCTAAACCTAAACCCCAAAACCCTAAACCATAGACCCTGAACTACTACGTAAGTCGAAGAAGCGGAACTCTCTCGTTGCTTGTAGTGACAATCACCATCGCAGCTGCTTTCTGGGATTATCATTCGGATACTTTTTCGGGGTGAGGGATTATATGTTTAGGGCTCCAGGGGTTTAGGGCTGAGGGGAGGGTTTAGGGCTTAGGGTTTACTCTACTGAATTTGGAACCCTAGCAAAAATTACAGTTGCTGCTGTTTTCTGAGGGGATTATCGTGCCCAAACATGTTGGACCCCTAAGTTTAGGGCTTGGGCTTACAGTTTATAGAGATTAGGGGGCTCCAGGGGTTTCGGGCTTAGGGTTTAGGGACGTTTAGGTTTAGGGTTCAGGGTTTAGGGTTTAAGGGCTTAGGGTTTAGGGCTTGCTTCAGCTGAGAAGCCGCCGAGCTGTTCCCACCGCAGGCGACGTTCCCCCAGGTCACCACAGTGCCGTCCCCGCGGAGGGCCGCAAAGGCGGAACTGGGCCCAAGGAGCGTCTTTCAGGGGGGGGGGGGGGGGGGGGGGGGGGGGGGGTTTCGGACACCCTAAGACCCTAAACCCTAAACTACTAAACTACTAAAGTACTAAACTACTGAACTACTAAACTAGAGGAGGAACACAAAGGAGGGCGCTCTTTTGGGTGTAAGGAGCTGACCCTGAGAAACTACTATTTGCTTAAGAACCCCAAAAGAATAAACAACAATCATCCTGATATTACCCTTAATGAGGAACAATCTTTTGAATTTTTCGGGATTCTTAAGCAATCCTTATATTGCCCTTTGTAAGAAAACAATATTTTTCGGGGTTCGTAAGCAACTAGTAGAAAAGCGCAGGGCCAAGTCCCCAAACATTGCACCCCGGAACCCTAAAAGCTCATGAGCCGTCGACTCCCCCCCCCCCCTCATTTAACTGAACAAAGCGGAGGGTTTAGGGTTTAGGGTTTGGGGTTTAGGGTTTAGGGTTTAGGGTTTAGGGTTTAGGGTTTAGGGTTTAGGCTTTAGGGTTTAGGGTTTGGGGTTCAGCATCTCAAAGTTCAAGCATTCACTAGGCTGGCAGCTTTTCAAGCGCCCGAAAAGTACCCACCCACCCAGAGAATCCCATACCATTAAGATAATAAAAGTTTCACACGCAACCCAAATTCTTAACCCTACGCTCTCGTCCCTGAACCTTCAACCACCGTAGAACCCTCAGCCCTGAACCCTTGAACCCTAAATTTTAGGGCTCCTCAACCCTCATGCCAGCCAGTGGCTTTGCAAATGACCCAAAGAAGGGGGGCGGGGGCCCCCCACGAGGGGGGGGTGGGGGCAGAGGGGGGGGGGGCAGGGGGGGGGGCGGGGGGGTGTCCAGGGGGGGGGGGCAGGGGGGGGGGCAGGGGGGGGATGCAGGGGTTGGGACCGGCGGGGGGGGCAGGCGATGGGGGGGGCAAGGACCTTGCCCGCTAATTTTCGGACCTTGCCCGCTAATTTTCGGACCTTGCCCGCTAATTTTCGGACCTTGCCCGCTAATTTTCGGACCTTGCCCGCTAATTTTCGGACCTTGCCCGCTAATTTTCGGACCTTGCCCACTAATTTTCGGACCTTGCCCGCTAATTTTCGGGCCTTTCCCGGGTCCGAAAATTAGCGGGCAAGGTCCGAAAATTAGCGGGCAAGGTCCGAAAATTAGTGGGCAAGGTCCGAAAATCAGTGGGCAAGGTCGTGGGTCAGCGGGCAAGGTCCGAAAATTAGTGGGCAAGGTCGTGGGGCAGCCAATGGACCTTGCCCACTGATTTTCGGACCTTGCCCGCTGATTTTCGGACCTTGCCCGCTGATTTTCGGACCTTGCCCGCTAATTTTCGGACCTTGCCCGCTAATTTTCGGACCTTGCCCGCTAATTTTCGGACCTTGCCCACTAATTTTCGGACCTTGCCCGCAAAGCCATTAACATTTATATTATATATGAAAGAGTGGTTTAGGGTTTAGGGTTTAGGGTTTAGGGATTAGGGTTTGGGGTTTAGGGTTTAGGGTTTAGGGATTAGGGTTTAGGGTTTCGGGTTTACACTTCTTCTCCAACCGCCCCGAAGGCGGATTCTCCCCCCCCCCCCCTCCCCAGCATGCTTGCCGATCCTGATGGAGTGTCCTTTTGGAAAGTGTGGGCATCCAAGGGTTTAGGAGGGTTTAGGGTTTAGGCTTCGGGATGAACAACGAGGCCCACATTGGCCCTTGACTCAGGTGACAATATGGCGGTTTCCGAAATTAGGGGTACCCTATTGGGGTCCTTATTATCAGGGAATCCTACTATTTGGGGATCTACTTTAGGGGTCCCCTATTTTTCGTAAACCCCCAAATGGAACCCCATACTTGAAACTTCTTTTTGACTTGCTGGGCTTTGCTTCCTCAACCTGTACGAACTGACCTTTGCCTAGTGACCCTAACAAGAAAACTCTAGACGTTAAGGTTTAGGGTTAGGTTCTAACCCTAAACCCTAAACCCTAAACCCTAAACCCTAAACCCTAAACCCTAAACCCTAAACCCTAAACCCTAAACCCTAAACCCTAAACCCTAAACCTGAAAGACTCCTGCGACATGATTCGTTGGGAGTCTGATCCTGCAATCTGTGCACGACAGCCAAGGGACTAAAGGGGGGGACTCATAAGGGACCTTACTTGGCTGCACTCAGGAGGGTAGCTATATATTAAGCTTTTCGCTGCCTTAAGAAGAAACCCAATAAACCCAAAAAAGGTAAGGATCTAAAGCTACAGTAAAGTACCACAAAGCTTAGGGGTACGTACTGTAGGGTTTCCTTAGGTGTATCGGGATTCTATGCGGCTTTTGTAGGGGTTCTATTGGGCAGTAAGATTAAGGGTCCCTTCTAGGGGTCCCACTATAAACCCCCCTAAGCCCTAAACCCTAAACCGAAAAACCCTAGACCCTAAGCCCTCAGCCCCAACCCCTAAACCCCAAACCCCAAACCCCAAACCTAAACCCCAAACCCCCCAAACCCCCCCGAACCCTAAGTCTGAAGCCCTCCTGGGCCCTATCCAATCCGATGCGGCACAGGCGCTCCGTGGCCACAAGCTGCCGCACGTCGGAGAGCTGCTCGCGCACGTCGCGGCTATCACCTTCGGGGCTTGATGTTGGACTGACTTTAGTGTAAGGAGGGTCTACAATCACAAGTTTCCAAAATTTATTCTGCGAACCGAGTCTGTTGGATGTAAAGCCTTATGGAGTTTCATTACAAAACGAGGCCCCGAACAAACTTTGTGATGGGGAGCCCACGGGCCGGTCAGACTGTCTTTAGTGACTTTGTCTGGTCACCCTCTATAATACACAGTTTTTGTTTCGGATGATTGCTCTTTTAAGGGTTTGTGTTTTGGTTTAAGGGCTTACGCGGTAAGGCTTGAGGCCCTGAGGGCCTTGGGTTCCAGGAATCTTAAAGGCTGGAAAGCTTCAGGCCTTGAGGGCCTATAGGCTGGAGGCCCTGAGGGCGGTCCCCCCCCCCAATTTGTTTGGGGGGGGGGGGGTCGCCTCGCCATGCGTTCATAGAGGGTCCAAATTTGTTGGGGGGGGGGGGGGGGGCATACTAAAGACAGTGCAACATTAAACAAGTGTGTGTGTGTGTGTATATATATATATAACCCAAACCTTAAGAACCCGCATATATCCATACATACATATATACATTTCTACATATATGTATATGTAGAGATATACATACATACATAAGTATACATATACCTACACCTATATATAGATATATACGGATATATTATATATACATATATATGTATGTATGTATACATATATATATATATATATTTATACACAACCTTCAGAACCCCGGCCTACTCCTTTGGTAGCTTGTGATGATGCCACCCCTTCTAAGCGCCGGGGCCTCAATCCTACCGCCCGACATGAAGCCCTGCAGTGTGTATACAAGGGTAGCATACATACATACATACATACATACATACATACATACATACATACATACATACATACATACATACATACATACATATATAAACCGGTATGTGTGAAAGCATGTGTATATGCTTCTTCATACACCCTAAACCCTACACTATACCTACACCCTACAAAAGTACAAAACAAGAACAAGCTTTTTAAAGACAGCCCACCTCCGTAGAAGGCGTCGCCCCAGGCAAAGGCCTGAGGCTATTTTTTCTGTAACTCCTATAAACCCTAAACCCTAAGATCACCCCCCCCCCCCCCCCCACCTCCCGCCTCCAAACTCCCTGGAACCAAACAAGTAAGTGGGTTTGGTTTTGTGTTTTACTGGTTTTTGGGTGCGCATGCATCTTACAGTTGCATGTTCCACGAGCCAACAAACAAATAGATAGGTATGCAGAGGGAAAGAGAGAGAGAGAGAGAGAGAGCGAACAAAAAAAAAAACATACGGGGCTTTTGAATATGTAACACAGATACACAGATATTGATATCTGATATAGAGAGGTCGACCCTCATGTACACCTGCCCCATCTGGGTGCCTCAAGGGGAAGGGAAGGAAAGCCCCCTGAAAGACACAGCGCCGGGGTGCAGATCCGTCCTCACGAATGGCCCCGAAGGCACGGCTACTGGCGCAGATCTGTCGCACGCCCGTGAGCTGCGCTTGAACCTCCAGAACACGGTGTTTGGGTTCGGGGCTTATAGGGCATTTACTAGGATGGCCCTGAATCCAAGCCTCTGAAAAATCTTCCTGAATATGATCCCCTTAAACCCAATAAGGGAAAAAGACAAAAATGTCCCAACAGGCTAGCTAGTTTACGGCAGCTTACAAACGTCTCGCGGCTACTTTTGTCTGTGACGTAGGGGTAACTGTAGGCAGAAGAGGCTAGGGCCCTATTGCAAGGTCCCTGTTGGGATAGCCGGCATAACCCTGAACCACAAAGAAATAGCCCCAAACACCGGGGCCCTAAACTCTGAGCCCAAAACCTGTTGGGTCGTTAGGGTTTAGGGTTTAGGGTTTAGGGTTTAGGGTTTAGGGTTTAGGGTTTAGGGTTTAGGGTTTAGGGTTTAGTGACTTCTGACAGGAGGCGTAGCCTTGGGGGTTTAGAGGTTTCGGGTCTCGGGCGCGGGGTTTGGGGCTAGTGGGGAAACGATTCCGTTCATCCACTGATTAGGGGGGCATCCGCCCAGTCCCTGAACCCCGAACCTCAAACCCCAAACCCCAAACCCCAAACCCTAAACCCTAAACCCCAAACCCCAAACCCCAAACTCTAAACCCTAAACCTAAACCCTAATCCCTAAACCTTACAATCCTTACAAAGGTTCTTGAACTCGGCTCAGGCCCGACCTCCCCGCAACATGCCACTCCACAGCCCTGAGCCCTAACGAAGACCATGGTCGGTTTAGGGATTAGGTTTAGGGTTTAGGGTTTAGGGTTTAGGGTTTAGGGTTTAGGGTTTAGGGTTTAGGGTTTAGGGTTTAGGGTTTCGGGCATAGGGGCCTCGGCACCTGAAATGTCAGGGGGGTCGTGTTTACATCCGGGACGGGGGCCATAACTTACTTGGAAGCCCTTTTGACTTAGGTAGTAGGGTTTAGGGTTTAGGGTTAGGGTTTAGGGTTTATGGTTTAGGGTTGCGGGGTATGGGGAGTATACCAGGGTTGCTTGGACTTGCGAAGTCAACAGAGCGTCCAAGTCTAAGTCTAGGCCTTGTCACAAGAGCAGCTGTCCCCCTCAACTTGGCAGTGCTTCGTAGGCAACCCACGGCAGCTTGAAGCAACTAATTCTCCCCACAGACTAAACACTACACGCACCCTAAACCCTAAACCCTAAACCCTACATCCACCCTCAGCCCTGAACTCTTATCTCCTATAGCTCTTCATGCTCAAATGCATGCCGAGTGAACGGCAGACGCGTCTCCGCCAAAGTGCTGGGAACCCCAGGCAAGTACCCGGCCGTCCTTCTCCGGTTCCAGCGTGCTTGGAGGTTCATGGCACTTATTGACCAATAAACAGAAAACTGTACTCATAACCCACTTGTAAGCCCCTTAAGTGCCCTAATCCGGTTATAAGTACAGATAGAAGTACAGTTATAATTGGTCAATAAGTACCAGGAACCTCCAAGTGGGGGTTGAGGGTTGACGGGCTTCAATATGGGGGTTTACGAAAAATTTAGAACCCCCACACAGTAGGATTCCCTCATAATAAGGACCCCAAAATGGTACCCCCCAGTTTTGGAAAGCCCCCCCCCCCCCCCCTCCTCCCAGATTTCATTGTTTGGGTGTTGGCGGCTTTGAGCTCGGTGCGGGCTTGGGGGGCTTCTGGCGGTTTAGGGGGTTCAGGGGGGAGGGGGATTAGGGGTGGGTTTGGGGGGGGTTTTGGTGGTTTTTTGGGGGGGGGGGGGGGTTTTGGGGGGTTTGGGGCTTAGGGCGGATCAGTGGAGGGTTGTAGGTGGCCCGGAGCCTTGTGGGCCTTCAACATGTTCGTTCAAGACCAATCGATTTGGGAGGAAGTTGGGCGTCTCTCCCCCATCCTTTTTTCGGGGGGGTTTAGGGGGGGTTTAGGGTTTAGGGCTTAGGGTTGAAGGGTGCGGATAAAGGGATAGCAGGTTCCGTACATACCCCATTGTAGAGGGGCGAGTGAAACCCATGAACCCCTCAACCACCAACCCCCAAACCCCAAACTCTAAACCCTTAAAGCCCCTAAAGCTTACCTAACACCCCTAAACCCCTAAACCCAGTCCCTAACCCCTAAACCCTGAACCCCTGAACATCCTCGCGGAGCGCCGCAAAGGCCAACCAGGTGGCGTGGAGCTCGCGGACGTTGGTGAGCTGGGCTTGGAGGCCCTGCGCAAAAGCCCAGCTTAGGGGGGTTTAGGGTCTTAGAGTCTAGGGTTTAGGGTCACAAATTACGCAGCAGGAGGAACCTCATACCCTGTAAACCTTAAAACCCCCCAAAAGAAATCCTGGTCCTGAAATTGAAGGTCATGGGGCCCCCTTGCTACTTCAAATGACGACCTACCCCTACTTTGGAGTGGACCCTGGGAAAAAAAGGTATATACTTTTCAGGTAGAAGTAGCTATAATAGGAACCCAGAACCAACAAAAGTGTTAAAGCTTAGTGCTCCAAAACCCAGTTTCCTTCTTACGGAGAAGTTCTTGCGGAGACAAATGCCCACTGCTTTTGGACGGCTTTCCCACACATAATTTGGGGGTCGGAAAAAATAGTAGTCCCGTATGGTCCGTGTATAATTAAATATAAAGCCTCTTCTAACTATTAAGGCCCCTATATTAAATAACCCCAAGCAACTCACATGGCACGGTCTGTCCTAAACTCTAAACCCTCAACAACGGCCCTTTCTTGGCTACCTCTAGGTATCTGAGACCTCTTGTTTTGACATTTTTGGGGGGGGAAGAGGGGGGGAGCCCCCAAGGTTCAGGGAAGAGGGTTGAAGGCCGAGGCCCGAACTAAGCCCTAGACCTTAAACGCTAAACCCTAAACCCTAAACCCTAAACCCTAAACCCTAAACCCCGAAAGCCTAAACCATAAACCCTAAACCCTCAACCCCAACCCTAGAGGCTTAAGCTTTCAGAATTCGAAAGGGCCAGGGAACCTCACAGTCGGCGGTGGAGTCCCCCCAGCTCTGCACGCCCCCATCCCCTGCAGGGTTTAGGGTTTAGGGTTTAGGGTTAGGGTTTAGGGTTTAGGGTTTAGGGTTTAGGGTTTCGGGTTTAGGGTGCAGGGTTTAGGGTTTAGGGTTTAGGAAGTGCGCGATGCCCGGGCTCCAGGGGCTTTTGGGGCTTAGGGGCTTTAGGGGGTTAGGGTTTAGGGCTTTAGGGCTTAGGGCTTAGGGCTTAGGGGCTTAGGGCTTAGGGCTTCGGCTTTGGGGTTTAGGGTTTAGAGAGGAAGCGCAAAGTGGCTCAACCCCATACCCCTCTAGCATCCCTAAACCAAATCCCCGAACCCAAATGCGCCCGAAAGACCCCTGTACGCTGACCCTAACCACGAACCACTACGGGGTTTGGGGTGTAGGGTATAGGGTTTCCCCAAACCCTTAACCCTTAACCCTAAACCCCTGAACCTGAGACCCCTACCTGGGAATCCCTGAGCCTGTACAGCCAGCCCTGGTTTAGGGTTTGGGGGTTTGGGGTTTAGGGTTTCGGCAAACCCGAGATGCCTTGTTGCCTCACGGGCTGTAAAATGTGGACGCAATTGAGGCTTCGAATTTAGAGTTTAAGCGTCTAGGGTCTAGGGTCTCGGGCAAGACTCCTGCAAATCAAAGTCTGAAAACTAGACCCTCAGCCAGCCCACCCTAGCTAAACCCTAAACCGCAAACCCTAAACCCTAAACCCCAAACCCCAAACCCCAAACCCCCCCAAACCCCAAACCCCAAACCCCAAACCCCAAACCCCAAACCCCAAACCCCAAACCCCAAACCCCAAACCCCAAACCCCAAACCCCAAACCCCAAACCCCAAACCCCAAACCCCAAACCCCAAACCCCAAACCCCAAACCCCAAACCCCAAACCCCAAACCCCAAAACCCGAAACCCGAAACCCGAAACCCTACCCTAAACCCGAAACCCGAAACCCGAAACCCTAAACCCTAAACCCTAAACCCTAAACCCGAAACCCTAAACCCTAAACCCTAAACCCTAACCCCAAACCCTAAACTCTACTGTTTGCTAAAAAGAATGACAAAGAATAGTCCCTATATTGCCCTTAGCAAGGAATGATATTTTATTTTTCCGGGGTTCTTAAGCAATTAGTAGCACATTTAACAAATGAAACGTTCCCTCTTCTTCGCCACCCCACTGACGAACGGGATAAGGAACTCTTCTCAACCTAGACCCCAAACCCTAAACCCTGAACCCTGAACCCTAAACCCTAGACCCCTAAACCCCTAAACCCCTAAAACCCTAGAGCCCTAAAGCCCTAAAGCCCTAAAGCCCTAAAGCCCTAAAGCCCTAAAGCCCTAAAGCCCTAAAGCCCTAAAGCCCTAAAGCCCTAAAGCCCTAAAGCCCTAAAGCCCTAAACCCCTAAACCCTAAACCCTGAACCCTGAACCCTAAACCCCACACCCTAAACCCTAAACCGGCAAAGTATCGCCTGTCAAGGCTGCAAAGGCTGCATTCGAGGCCACCAGCGTGCGCACGTCTTGCAAGCCCCCGCACGTCTTGCCTAGGTTGAGGGCTTAGGGCTTGGGGTGTTGTAGTCTGGTAGGGCTAGGCTGCCGAGTAACCAAAAAGGGTGCCCTTTGTTTGCTTAAAGAGGTTTATAGTGGAACCTAAACCCCCCTCCCCCCCCAAAAAAAAAAAAATGGAATAAGGGCCCAATCAGGGTACTACTGGGCATCCTAGAGAGTTTAGGGCTGTTGGTTTCGGATTCTTGGTTTACGGATCTTCCCCTGAAAAACCCCCCCCCCCCTTCTCTGCGGGCCAGCGCTGGAAACCCCAGTCGAGAGAGAGGGCCCCAAGACATAGCACGGCCGAGCTGCTGGTGAGCAGGGATCCATCGCCTAAAGCCAGCGCATAGCCACAACTGTTCGACGCCAGCACGGGCTCGCGCGCCAGCGCCACCACCTGCAGGTGGCGCGCAGGTCCGTTTTTTGGGAGCCCGATGAACCCCAAACCCAAGAAGACCTAGAACCTTTCAGCCCGAAGCCTTATAGACCTTTAAGCAATTCTGAATCTTAGAAAATTGGAACTCTGTAAGCCCTTACGGAGCAAAGGGGGTGCAGAATGCAACTCGCATACACCCCGCTGAGCTCTGCAATGGATTCGAAGCTGATGGGCATTGAGGTCGACTCTTGCTTACCAGGTTTTCAGGTGTAGGCCTAAACCCTAAACCCTAAACCCTGACCCTAAATCCTAAACCCTAAACCCTAAACCCTCAACTCTACACCCCGAACCTTCCCAGAACGAACGTGGCACCACCGAGCTAGGGGCTATACATGGACTTCAGGGTCATCCTGAGCCGTAGTCCCATATTTAGGGTTTAGGGTCTAGGGTTTAGGGTTTAGGGTTTTCCGAAATTAGGGGTACCTTATTGGGGTCCTCATTCTAACGGAATCCTAGTATTGGGGGACCAAATTAGGGGTCTCTTATATGATACTTATATGTGCAAAATCCCCCAGTTGCAGCACTGCACATGAACAACCCAATCCAAAGTGGCTTGTGCTATAAGGAGGTTTACGATTTTGGGGTACCTTGCTGCGGTCCTTACTATATAAGCGGATCCTCCTATTTGTCTCTATTATCACTAAACCCTAAACGCTATAAACCCTAAACCCTAAACCCTAATCCTAACCCCTAAACCCTAAACCCTAAACCCTTGGTAACCCCAGAAGGCCGTGCGGGCGAGCTGCCGTGGCCATGTCTTCCACTCCCGCGCAGCTGAGCGTAGAAGCGTCCAGCAGCAGTTCGCCAGATTCTCGGACGATTTGACTCAAACCTCTCGGCTTGGACGGTTCAAGCAAGATGTCACAAAAGAAACGCTTAGACTTCGGACTTCGGTTGGGTTTAGGGTTTAGGGTTTAGGGTTTAGGGTTTAGGGTTTAGGGTTTAGGGTTTAGGGTTTAGGGTTTAGGGTTTAGGGTTTAGGGTTTAGGTTTAGGGTTTAGGGTTTAGGGTTTAGGGTTTAGGGTTTAGGTGTTGAGGGTTTAGGGTTTAGGGTTTAGGGTTTAGGGTTTAGGGTTTAGGGTTTAGGGTTTAGGGTTTAGGGTTTAGGGTTTTGGGTTTAGGGTTTACGGTTTAGGGTTTAGGGTGCTTTCCGGCTTGGAGCTTAGGGGAAGTCTCCGCAGAGCCCTACAGCATTCCGGGGTCTGGTGCCTGTCAGAACGACCCTGAACCCTTAAGACACCAAAGTCCAAAACCCTTAACAAAAGCCCCAAAACCCCAAAACCTGCAAAAACCTAAAACCACCCCTCCAATACCCTTCAAGAAAAACCCCCGCACTCTAAACAAAAACCAAAAAAACGCCCTCAAAGCCCTCGGCCGCTCGCCTCCGAGCTCCTTCTCCGCGGCCCGACGCAGCTGCGTCACAGTCCAGTCGGCCGCGGCGCTGACGGAGCACTCGCGGCCGCTCAGGAGGCACACGCGCACGGTCAGGGCGGCCATGTTGGGTGGAGGGTTGAGGGTTGAGGGTTTAGGGTTTAGGGTTTGGGGCTTAGGGTTTAGGGTTTAGGGTTGAGGGTTTAGGGTTTAGGGGCTAGGGTTTAGGGATTAGGATTAGGGTTAGGGTTGGTGAAGCACACCCATGCCTATCTGGGTCAGGATATGAAAGATGATCCTTAAGAACATGACATGATGGCTCCAGGCTTCCGTTGTTTTGTTGTTTTGGGGGGTGGTGGGTTGCTTTGTTGTTTTGGGGGGTGGGGGGGGGGGGGGGGTGGGGGGGGGGGGGGAACGGAGAGGGGGGGGGGGGGGACGGAGGAGGGGGGGGACACGGGAAGGGGGGGGGGAGAGGGGGGGGACGGAGAGGGGGGGACGGAGAGGGGGGGGGGGGGCCAAGGATAGCTACCTCAACTTTTGCCAGCCAATCCCTCAAAACAACGCAAGCACATCCTCCTCCGACACCCTAAACCCTAAACCCTAAACCCGAAACCCGAAACCCGAAACCCGAAACCCTAGACCCTAAACCCTAGACCCTAAACCCTAAACCCCAAACCCTAAACCCTAAACCCTAAACCCTACACACACACACACACACACACACACACACACACACCCCTAAACCCTAAACCCTAAACCCTAAACCCTTGAATCATGGCCGCTTCTCGGGTTCCCTAAACATACGCCTGCGCAACCCGTTAGTTGGAGAACTAAGCCTTGCAGGACTTAGGATGTAGGGCTTAGGGAACCTAAACCCTAAACCCCAAACCCTAAACCCTAAACCCTAAACCCTAGAAACCCAAAACCCCAAAACCCTGTCAAGTTGCTCATTCGTAGGAGCAGGTTGTGCATTCCGACGGCCAGGTCCTGCCAGGTGGGGCTGCGGCTGAGGGCTTAGGGAGGGTTTAGGGCTTAGGGCTTAGGGCTTAGGGCTTAGGGCTTAGGGCTTAGGGCTTAGGGCTTAGGGCTTAGGGCTTAGGGCTTAGGGCTTAGGGCTTAGGGTTTAGGGTTTAGGGTTTAGGGTTTAGGGTTTAGGGTTTAGGGTTTAGGGTTTAGTGCGTAGGGCTTAGGGTTTAGGGCTGAGGGTTTAAGGCTTAGGGCTCAGCATGTAGGGTCCGCCGACCCTGGCGGCGTGTTGGATGGGTTTGAGGAGGTGAAAACCTCCCTCTTTCCCTCCTTACCCCCCCAAAACGCGGGGGGGGGTCGGTGCACAATTTTTTCGTGGAGGACCGCGCCATCCGTACAGCCCCCCCCACCCAGCCGCCCCCCCACCCCCCCCCCACAACCCCCTCCACCCCCCCCTCCACCCCCCCCTCCACCCCCCCCCCTCCCCCCCCCCCCACAGCCCCCCCCACCCCCCCCCCCCCAACCCCCCGCCCAACCCCCCCCCACACCACCCCCCCCGACCCCCCCCTACCCGCCTGTCTTTTTGGCTTGAGCTTGTCCTGGTGCTACCCCCTACCCCCCCCCAAACGTTTTACAGAACTCGCTGGGATGATCTTCGAACTATGCGAGCGGGTTTAGACCTCTCAACTATGCTCCAGCGGGGTCGGCGGCTTGAGCCGGAGGCTCTTAAATTTAGGGCGTAGGGCTCAGGGGTGTAGGAGGTGACAACACACAACAACAAACAACAAAATATCTCGCCGCCTCGGTGTTGCTGCTGAGAATTTCCACCATCGACTTCCTTTCGGGTGTTTTCTTTGGCTCTTGGAGTCTTCAGGGGCTTGGGGTTTAGGGTTGAGGGGCTTTTTTCGCCGGGCTCAGTTTAGGGTTGGGACCTAGGGTTTTAGGGGGTGCTTTCTTTGGCAGGAGGTAAAGGGACAAAATGGAGAACTTCCAAACGCATCTTCTGGATCCTCAGCTCTTGACGCAAACCCTGAAATCCCTAAACCCTAAAGCCCTCAGCCCTAAGACCCCAACCCTAGGTTTAGGGTTTAGGGTTTAGGGTTTAGGGTTTAGGGTTTAGGGTTTAGGGTTTAGGGTCCTGGACCCCAAAACCTTAAGCCCCTGTTCGGCTGCACTGCAAGCAGAGCCAAAGCATGCCAGAATTGTCGAGCAACCAATCCACCCCCACAGGTACGGGATTTACCCGTTGCTTTCTTAAGTCTGAGACCTTAAACTATATGTAGGAAGGACGCTTCATATTTCAAGGAGCTAGTCAGAGATCCTTAGCGAATTGTCCAAGGGAGTCTGGGACACTTCGTAAACACGCAGACTCGTTGAGCAATGTAGGCTTGGCTTAGGGTTTTAGGGTTTAGGGTACCTAGTCTAGTGATTCTAGTGGGTTGTTGTGAAATAGTTGGGGTGTATAGGGCGTACGCCTATTGTGGGAAGTGGCCAGTATTCCTTTGCAGCTTAATGTACCCCCCCAAAAAAATATAAATATAAATATATAAAACGCCCAGAATGTCGATCAAACCCCAAATCACATGTCCCTCCTTCGGGCACTTTGAATGCTAGGTGTACTGCTTACTGCCCTGAACCCTGAACCAAACCCTAAAGCCCAGGCGTCCTTGAAAGGGACAATCATGGAGTTTAGGGGTTGTCGGGTTTTCGCTTGGGGTTAGGGTTCAGGGTCTCAGCTTCCTGATTTGACGATTCTTTCTCAAAACAGTCGAAGCCTAAACCCAAAACCCTAAACCCTAAGCCCTAAACCCAAAACCCAAAACCCTAAACCCCAAACCCCATAGAATGCCAGCCAGGCATCCAGTCGTTGCTGAAGTGCTGGTGGATGTACTCGGGCTCGGACCGTTGCCTCATCGTGCCTGGGCTTTCGGTGAGTTTAGGGTTTAGGGTTTAGGGTTTAGGGTTTAGGGTTTAGGGTTTAGGGTTTAGGGTTTAGGGTTTGGGTTTAGGGTTTAGGGTTTAGGGTTTGGGGTTTGGGGCTTGGGGCTTGGGGCTTGGGGCGTTTGCGGGGTTTAGGGTTTAGGGTGCGTGGGGTGCTTAGGGTGCTCAGGGTTTAAGAACCAAGGCTCAGGACGAACCCCACGCCAAGTCGGGACTTAACGGTTCGGGTTTGGACCCCTTTTGTTGTCCTTTGAAGCCTTGAGGTTTCGCGTTTAGGGTTTAGGGTTTAGGGTGTAGGGTTTATAGGGTTAGGGTTATTCAGGGAGAAAGCTCAAACAGTCCTAAAAACACACAACCCCGCACCCTAATCCCCAAATCCCAAGCCCAAATGAACCGCAACAAGGGACCCTAAACTACCTTATTGTTGTATGCTGGTTAGTGATCCCAGGATATCGATTTGTTGAGGGGGGCGGGGTGTGTGGTCTCTGGGAGCTACCGACGAGATCCGGGTTGCGGTCTAGGCTTAGTTCTGAATGGCTACTTCGCCAAATTTCTGGACGATCCAAAATCCCCAACACAATTCCTTGACGTGGTCCCACTCAATAATTTCGGGAAATACCACACTTCCGGGGGATCGGACGAATAAGCATTTAGCATTAAGGCACAAGGAAAAGCCCTAAACCCTAAACTCTAAACCTTAAACCCTAAACCCTAACCCCTAAAGGGACACTAAACCAGCGCAAGGAAGAACCGGGCTGCACATGGATTCACCGTTCACGAGCTTGTCGAAGACCCGGGGCATTTCGGGTTTCCTTGGTGCTTGAGGGCTTCGGGTTTAGGGTTTAGGGTTTCGTAGGGATTCCTTCATGTTTGGGGGCTTCGGGCTTAGCAGGGATTCCTTAGTGTTTGAGGGCTTCAGGTTTCGCAGGGCTTCTCCGCAAACTGCAGCGTTCCGAGTTTGCTTAGCACCTGCTTTGGGGTTGGATTTAAGGTTGGCGTCGTGTAGATTTCCTTGCGGGGCCTGAGGTTTAGGGCTTTCAGGGCTTTAGAGTTTACTAAGCCCTAATTACACCCTAAACCCTACACCCTAAACCCCAAACCCGGGCTCTCCAGCTCTGTGGGTTCTTTGGGGGGCTTAGGGTTTGGGGGCATGTCTGGTTCCTTGCAGACATAAGGTTAGGGGTTTGGGCCTGGTCGGCTGAGGGCTTTTTGGGTTTGGGATTTAGGGTTTAGGGTTTGGGGCCTTGTGGGGTTAGGATCTTGTTGTATGTTAGGGAACGCTGTTGAATATTATGGTGCATAGCATATTGTAGTAAGAGGGAAATTCGGGGGTTTAGCGGAGGCTCTAAACCCCAAACGCCAAGCCCTAAACCCAAATATAAGGTTTCGGGTTTCGGGGTACTGCAGGGCGCCCAGCAACAGGATGCAGTCGAACACGACTCGCCATGAGGGTTTAGGATTCTCTAAGGTTGTTGGG